TTATTTAATTTGTTTGCTGCATCTGTGGACAAGCTTGCATGTATGTTGCAGGTATGACCTACCAGGAGCCTCCTGGGCACATGGGCCCCATGGTTGTTTATTTATTTACCTCTCCTCTGTTGTTCTTTTCTCCCACCTGATCCAGTATTCCCAATTTTACCTCTCCCACAAGACAAAAAAGCTTAGTGGACTGCAAACAGTAAATAAAGCTGACATTTGCAGCAGTCAGTCTGATACAAGAGGATTGGGATGCAGCAGCACATTTTTGGGCTTGTTTCCACTCCTTATTTAAAATCTCTTTTAATCAGGAGCTAATGACAACTTTTGGTCACGAGAGCTGATGCACAGGGAAAAAAAAATATCCACCAGTTTGCATTCAAAATAATGCAAACCGTTCTAAATAGGGAGATCTGCAAGGATATAATCAAGCTAAATTGCTCATTGTTGCTCTCACCAGAGATGATTTCTTGCCTCTATCTGGGTTGGGTTGTCGTCTGGCTTTAGGGAGGATGTGTTCTCTCTTTATTCCAGTTGTAAACCTTTGCAGCAGCAGCAGCAGCTGGTGGCTGCAAGAGTGGGTTTTTCCTCTGGGTTTTGTGCGCATCAAGCAAATATTCCGGTGGCTTTGGATATTGCTGTCCAAACTGTAGCAGGAAAATTGTCCTACAGGTTTCTGCCACTGTCCTCCCTGAGCTGAGCTGACCCCTTTAGGTGGAGCTGTCCCCTCTGGGACTCTGCTGCAGGCAGACACCAAGTCCTGCAACAGGTCACAGCTGCCAGGAAAACAGCTCTGGCTCGGGAATAGAGGACTCTCTCTGCCTGCAGATGGTGTGCAATAAGCTCTGGATTTTAGTGACTCCGTGCAATTTATCCTATTGAAAGTAGCTGAGCCTGGAGAGAATCGGGAGCTGATGCTGAAGTCTCCAAACAAATCATAATGTGTTTAATACTTGGGTTGTTTTTGGTCATAATTTTATTCACCTGTGTCATACACGAGTACAACATAAAAACTGTGCACTTTTCCGTGCTTTAATCGAAATAGTGTGTGGAAACATGGAATGGTTTGGGTTGGAATTAAAGTTCGGCCAGTTCCACTCCCCTGCCATGGGCAGGGACACCTTCCACTATCCCAGGCTGCTCCAAGCCCTGTCCAACCTGGCCTTGGACACTTCCAGGGATCCAGGGGCAGCCACAGCTGCTCTGGGCACCCTGTGCCGGGGCCTGCCCACCCTCCCAGGGAAAGATTTTTTTCCCCAATATCCCATCTGAACATTCCCTCCTTCATACCTTAACAAGGTCATTTTTCCCCTTGTTCTATCATTCCATGCCTTTGTGAAAATTCTCTCTACTTTGTGTACTGTACTTATAAAGCTGAGCAGCAGTATTCTGGTCTGCTGATTTTCCTACTAAATTCTATTTTAATTTTTTTTAATAATAATTTGCTCGGTTGTTTCTTCACTGTGCAGTTGTCTGAGAAGTGTAGGTGGCTTCAGCTACGGCTTGGCAGTGAAACTTGCCATGGAAATACCACAGCCTGAAAAACTTAATGGTTATGGAAGGCAAATGTGGCTTTATGATGTCACTCTTGTCCCCAACACACTGCCTTTGGCTCAATTATTCTGCATGTGTCTCTCTTAAAGCTTTTCCCCCTTGGCTCCACTGTGTGTGGAGGAACTTTTGCTGAGGAATGGGAGCGTCCTGAGGGTTAAGTGACCTAATTTCATCTGTGCTGCTTTCGTCTTTCTAACCTCAGAAGGCAGAGACCCTGAACTGAAAAGTATATAAAAAGATTCTAATTAGTACAGGACAAAAAAATAAGGCTTCCCTTGAAAAAGGGGACTGATTTTGATCTTCTAAATTAACAAAAGGGTGGAGTCACAAGCAGCAAGTGTGGCACCTACTTGGATATTCCACAGCATCCTTTTTTTTGCCTAGCTCTTGGTAGGAAGGCAAGCTCCTGGGTGGAGTTACAGCTCCCATCCCATCAAAGAACATCTTGTTTGGACACAAAGTCACTGATGTCAGCTGTAAATGTCAACCTGACTGTCAGGAGGCAGCCACAGATGAGAGAGGTGAAAGTGCCTGGTCTCACCTCCTGCCTCCTCCTGTGGCCCACCTATGCCACAGGCAGGAAAAGCTGGCTCTGACCTGGGCAGCAGGAAAGCCACCAGCTCCTGGCTGAGCCTGGCATGGATTCTTCTGCAATGCAAAGAGGGTCGTCTCAACCCTCTTCTCATCACCAGCTGGCTCAGGAGGGCCCACAAGGAGCTGCTCTTCCAGAGAAGGCAGGCACCCCAGGAAAGATGATTTTTGGGATGGCTCTTGGAAAAAAGCCCGATGTATTTGGGATTAGGCACCAGAACATCACAGCCTGCAGCCTCTTTGGCTAGGTGCCTGTCGAGCTGAGGCATTTTTGCCAGGTGGAAATGAAGAGTTTTTCTGGGTGCTGGGAGAACTCTGCTCTCCACCTGTAATTTTTTGTCAGAACTTTCATTCCTCTTTGTTGCTGTTTTTCTGTTTTTTTCTCTGGGCTTCTAATGACAGTGATTATGCCAAATGTGGCACATTTCATGTGCTGTGGAAATGACTTTCAGACCCAACTCTCAGTGCTTAAAGGACCATTAAAATCCCTGCTTTTCAGAACTAGGCTTTGGTGCTCTCCCCACTCTATTTCCAGTTCTGCGTTAAGCTGTAAAGTAGTAAAATTGCTGACTTGATTATGTTGCATTAATTAATTATCTCTATAGCAACATGCACTGATGTCATAAATATGGGAATTCAGCAGCGCAGCTGGATGGAAGAGGAGCTAATGGATAAACGGGGAGAAAGCTTTTTTTTTTTTTAATCTCTGCAGTAGTTAAGTAAACAGATTATTAATAAAGTAATATTTTGCATAGTTTCTCTTTTACTGCTCCATTTCTCTTCTGATGGAACTTTCTGTGTTGTGTTGGTCCCGTGTGTTCCTCCTAAAGAAGTTTTCCAAGCTGCAGGTCCCACTCTCAGAGCGCTCAAAGCACTGGGTTATCCCCTGCTCGTTTTTATACTGACATGTGGAAATTGAGGCAGGAGGAATCCCTCTGCCTTCAGCAAAGCCACCCTTCTAGGGATGGTTCTCCGTGGGGGAGGGAAGGGCGTGGATCTTGAGAAGGGAAAATACAGCTCATTTTGGCATTGTGGGGTGGAGGGGGTGACACAGTGCGAGACAGGAGATGTCAAGAGGCAGAGGAGATGATGGAAAAAGTGAATTTTGGCTCTGAGAAGGCTGGGATGCTCCGCTCTGCTCAGTGTGGGTACGAGCAGTTGTTGCTTGTCTGGCTGTTAGGAGCCCTGGGTTATCTCTGGAAATCCTGGCTGTGCCACTGTCTCTCTCCTGGCTCTTGGATTAAAGGCAGGAGAGAGGTGTCTACGAACAGTGCTTGTGCAGTGGGGCTCAGAGAGGGAGCTCTCCCTCTCTCCAGGAGTTTGTAGCAGATGTGGAGTCCTAAGAACCCAGCAGGAATGACTTGTGCTGATAACTGCAAAATCAGGCTGGGAAGAGGAATAATCAGTTGTTTCCAAGGGAAAAAATACAGTCAGGGGAGTCTGTAATTGCACTGCAGGTCTAAAGCTCCCAAGAGGTTGAAATTTGGTGCTTTTCTCGCTCCTTTTTGTGTCAGTCTATCACCTGAATAATTGTGTTATGCTGTTTGTTTGCCACCATCAGCTGTGAAGCTGATCAGTCCTTACCAGTCCAGCACAACGCTTGAGGAGCAAAGGCTCTCTGGGGTGAATAATTTATTCAGTTAATCTATTTTGATTTCTGTCATTTGACAGGTCCCAGGCAGGGTCTGTGTGGAGGAGGCTCGGGGTGCAGCGCTGCTATTTATACAGCACCGGGAAGCGCTGCGAGGATGTGCTTGGCGGGGTGAAGAGCTTGTGATCTCAGAGCACTTTGGGATGTCAGACACTCCCGAGTTCTGCTTCGTACGGCAGGAAAAGACTTCAGGACGTTCCCTCGGTTCTGCAGCACGGCAGAGCGGGGAAAATTCACCCAGTGATGGGCACAGTCCCTCAGGAGGTGCTGAGGGTTAAAACCCTTCTGTGGAGCAGCCCAGATCATGTGCCGTGCAGCGTCTGCTGGGAAAAGAAGGCCTCAAATATTGCTGGCCTGCTCCACATTTAATTAGCTGCCACAGCAAGTCGGGGAAGGTTTAACTCAGAGCGCTGGACACTGCACAAACATCACATTATAAATTGCCCCTCTCTGCCTGGGATATATGCAGGAAGGGTTAAGCTGTAAAACAACCTGCCCTTTCCTACGTAAATTAAAAAACCTGTTAACATGATAATGTTTTGATTTCCGTCGAAAAGTGTTTATTTTGGTAGCCTGTACAGAGTTTCAGCTATTCTAAAACCCTGAGATTTCACAGCCGAGCTTTCATGTTCCCAGCAGAGAAGGAGGTGAGATACTCAAAGAATCTCTGTTCTTATTTCAGCACTGCACTTGCCAGCCAAATTTTCAAAAGAGCCCAGTTTGCTGACATAAATGGGGTTGCTGATGTGCCGAAGGAGAAGGAAGCGCCGGAGAACATATTCCTCCCTAGGTCCAAGTCTCTCCCATCTTATCTTTCCCTTCCATATGTTTCCTCTGTAATGAGAGGAATTATTTATCATTAAAGTGATATATAATTTAAAAATTAAAGTTAATGAATGCTTAAATTAATTTACTGACAAAAACAAATGTCTGTCTTTCAGATCCTATAATTTTAATTGGAGTGGGCTACGGCTTAATTAACATGTATTGATTGTAGTCCTGAGTGCATCTATAGGTGGGTGGACTGTGTTGGGAGAAATCCTCCTCAGAGATGAAGATTTGCTGATAACATTCTGAATAATTGTCTTGTGAAGAGACAGAAGTCTTTGCTGTTTTCTCTGCAGAAAGCTTTAAACAAAAGGTATTGTTTATAATTAAGGCAAAAAAAAAAATTTGACACGGCTGCTTTTTTACAGATGGGAAGAGAATTCTGCTGCAAAAATATTAATGAATTGACTCATTAATTAGGTGCACGAAGAAAACAGAAAATTGGAAGAGAGTTGGAGCAAATAAAGAAGTGGATGCAACTGGAAACTTTTTGGGGGATAAAAAGGTAGGCTTCAATTTGGTATTTACTCCCTACACTCTTTCCCCTGGGTGGGTGTCCCCGGTTTCACGGTGGGTGACGGTGGGGATAAGGAGTGTGACAGCAGGGAGTGGCTTTTTGAGGGATGTGAGGACCACCTGCTTTGGGAGACATCCCAAGGCCCCTCCAAGCCCAGGTGTCGTGGGAGCCTGTGGAGCTGGAGACAGGCACTGCAAGCAGGATGTGAGGAGAAAGAGAGGCATTCCTCACTCCCTGGCACAAACCCTTCTGCCTGATGCCGAGAACCTTTTCCCTGACCCGTTCCGTGTGGCAAAAGACCTGAATTAATCTCTTTAAAGCCACCTCTGTATTCTCTGGTGTTAATATTTTATGTTTTATGAATCACCAGAATGAAAGATGTGCCACATGTCTCCTTTCAGTCCACTGACTGCCTGAGCTCCTCTCAAGGATTCAAGAGAGGTACCCACAGGAGCCTCCTGGCCCTTTGGGGCGGGTTTGGGTGCCTGCAAGGGCGAAAAGCCGAAGAGTGCTTGTTTTCTCTGGCCAGGAGGAGAGGAAACGGCCTCAGACTGCACCAGGGCAGGTTCAGGTTGGACATCAGGAAGTATTTCTTCACAGAAAGGGTTGTCAGGCACTGGAAAAGGCTGCCCAGGGAGGTGGTGGAGTCGGCACGCCTGGGATTGTTCAAAGCTACAGCTGGATGTGGCACACAGTGCTCTGGTCTGGTTGTGAGGTGGTGATTGATCAGAGGTTGGAGTCGATGATCTTGGAGGCCTTTTCCCACCTAAGTGGTTCTGTGATTCTATAATTCTATGACTTTCTCATACTTGGGTTTGAGAGGTTTTTTTCTTCCACAGCACAAACTTCTCCTCCTTCAAAACCATTTTTTAAAAAAATTGAATTGTATAGATGCAAAGAAAACAACCAGTCCTCTAGACCTGACTCACAGCAAAATGTTTATAAATTCAGATCCAGGTTGCAGAGACAAAGAGTAAAACAGAAGAAAAGAGGATTTTGTGAAGTCCCGTGTTACGTGGGTGGAAGGGCTTCACAGCTGCCTCCCATCACCACTTTCTGCACAGGGGATGGGAAGGGGGAAAGTAGTGATGATTTGGGGAGCCACTCACCCCCTTTTCTGCACCTAAGCCCAACTGGAAGCTCAATGTGCTCTTTCTTAGAGTCACAGAATCCTTTGGTTTGGAAAAGACTTCTAAGATCGTTGAGTCCAACCATTAACCCAGCTCTGCCAAGGCCACCACTAAACTCTGTCCCCAAGTGCCACATCTACACATTTTTTAAACTCTTCCAAGGATGGTGATTCCAGCACTTCCCTGGGCAGCCAGTTGCAGTGGCTGACCACACTTTCAGTGAGGAATTTTTTCCAAATATCCAACCTAAACATCCCCTCCTGCACCTTGAAGCCATTTCCTCTAACCCGTTCCTTTTTTTTCCTGGGAGAAGAGCCCGACCCTCACCTGGCTGCAACTTAATTGAAGTTTTCCTTTTGGCCTCCATGCCCTACAGGAGGAGGATTTTGATTCATCCAGTGGGGTTGTGTACATGGAAACCCCTCTTCCAACTTGTCAAGCCCATCCCTTTTTATTAATGCGGTGAACAGGCAGTGCCTTCCTGGAGACCTTTATTCCCCCTCCATTATATTGAATAAATTCTACATCAGGAAGGAAAGTAACTTGAAATAATGAACCATCAGTGGGTATTTAAGATTGCTTTAATGGGTCACATTGATGTAATCTCCACTTTTTCCTGGGAAGATCGTACTGGGCCATAACCTCAATTCATATTTATGTCAGAAGAAACTACATGGTGGAGATGGCTCAGAAAGAGCTTTTTTCTGCTAAGCAGTCAGATACAAATGTACAGATCTGCCAGAAATATGCTGGGATTTGAAGGGAGAAAGGGAGATATCAGATGTTTAGGGCATTTCTCTCTCTTACCTGGAAAAAATTCCCAAAAAACTTGTTTCTCACTCTAGGATGTGACCCAAGAAGGTGTGGGCTTATGGGCCCAGAAATGTGCAAGGTTGAGAGATTTTAGGATTACTCTAAGGAGCACTTTTACCATCTTTTTGCATGAGAGGTGTCTGTAGTTTGCCTGGCTAAAAAAAATCAGGAGGGAAAGAGAAATAGAGCTATATAAATAAAAACAATGGAGGTGTATGTATATAATATTATATACATATAATATATAATATTATACACATATAATGTCAGTAATATTTGACCTTCCAGTCATGTCCTTATGCCTGTTATTCCTTTTTGGTCAGACCCTTCTGTAGGCCAGAAGTCAGCCCAGATTGGGATATCAGGGACATTTGGGTTGTCTATAAAATAAAATAAAGGATGAAAATTGCATTTAAGGCCATTCCTCTTGGCCAGAAGCAGCAGCTCTGTCTTGATCCAATGCTGCAGAAAGATGAGATAAAGTTGCAAGTTCAGTTGGTCAGGATGGATGAGGGTGCAGGGGAAGGCAATGAAAATAACACAAATTCCCGGAGCTGTCTCGGTGAGGAAGGGACAAACATGACTAATGCTGCCTGAATGATTTGCACAAAAGGATTTCTTGGACAAACTTTGCCTTTCTGGAAGTAAACTGTCAGAGGGCTCAGCGCAAGTTTTCTGATGTGTTCATGAGTCAGAATTATTTAATGAGGGAGCGAAGCAGCCGTCCCCCAGGCCTTTGGAGCCGGGTTACCCAGGGGAACAACGCTGCTCTCGGCGAGGAGGGAACCCAAACACCAGCTCCAAGCAAAGAGTGCTTGTTCTTGAGGCCACTCCAAGCTCTCCCAGATAAAATGAGTCCCCTCAGTTTGTATTTTTTGGATCATGGGGAGCGTGTACGCAGTGCCACGAGGTGGGAAACCTAAATTCAAAGAGGGTTTTAGTGACACAAGCGTCCAAGTGTTGGCACCAGTGCTCAGTTTCTATAAATGCTCCCAGAGGTTCCCCTCTAGCCACACTTTATATTTTTCTTTTTTTTTTTTTTCTGGGTACACCATCTAATTTTATTGTTCTTTCTGTGAGCCCTTTTGACAAACCTGTGAGAAGGATAATTTATTTAGCCATTTTTTTGGAGCCATTATCTCTAGCAGAAAGCCAACAACTAAAAATTAGTGGTGTAGCACACACATAGGCAAAAGAATGAGTCTTTCTTCCTTTCCTTCTTTCTCTTTTCTTTTTTCTTTTAAAGCATTCATTTGTTGAAAAATAGCATTGCAGGTCAGCTGAAATTATTTGTGTTGGACTCAACAAGAAAGATGACAGCAGAAAGCAGCAATTTGAAAAAAATCAAACCACTTTTTTGTGCATTTTTGAAATTAGATGCTTTGACTTCTGCTTTTTGGAGTGATATTTGGAGCCAAAATGAAACTAATGTTAACTTTAAAAAAATGCTCTTTGGAGCTTCCCCGTTGAATCTTTTCCCCCCACCCCCAAATTTTCTCCTTGCTTTAAATGTTGTTTAGGAAGAAATAGGCATGTTTGTCTTGAGCTGGCTCAGGATGATCCCACCTCCCTGACCAAAAGGAAATAAAGCCATGGACCACATGGTTATTAACTGGTTGAAGCCCCCGTGAACAAAAGAAACAAAGCAGAGGGAGAGCTGCCAAGGATTTGACACTTTCATTCTGGCAAATATTTGTTTTTTTCATTTGGTCTGCTGTGGGAAAATGTTCCTTGCATGTGTAACCATGAGCATGGACTTAAATCCCTTTGGCTTCTCCCCTTGCAGATGGGTCAGGCTGTCTCCCCTGAGCCGGGGATGTACCTGCAGAGCTGTGGGTGAGGAGCAGCTGGGAGAATCCTCCTGTCTTGGGCCTCCATCCCTCTGTTCTTGGGAGCCGTGTCCATCCTCAGGGATGCGGGATGTGCCCGCGAAGCGTGACTTGGATTTCCACTGCAGTGAAAATGGAGAATAAACCACCGGTGCAATCCAGGAGCAACAGGAAGGAAAGTGACATCTGAGCAGTCCCCAGGCTGTCCTCCTCTGCCTGAAATAACTCCTGTAGCAGAGCAGAGCCTGGAGGTATCTTGGATCCTGTTGGGCATCCAAGGGATGCTGAAAAACTGGTTGCTGCTGGAGGAAGAGCATCTGAGGGGCAGTGACACATGGCCTGAGCTGCAGGATGGGCTCCCAGCAACCTGGATTTTGAAGGAGCCCCCTCCCTGCTCACTGCACAGCAATAGCTCCTGCTAGCACGTCCCAGGAGCAGCAAAAAATGGCTCAGGCTTGTGTGGAAATGGAAGAATGAAGTGAGAGTTCATTTTTCCTCTCTCTCCCAACCAGGAGATTCATGAGGTGGCTGGGTGAGTCTAAGGGAACTTGCAGTCTTTTCATCATGTTGATGGGTGGATGGATGGTGTGGCTTGGAGTACGTTTAAGGCTTTAATTAAATCAGGGCTGCATTCTCTGCAACAGTTCGCTGCTGCTTTAGGGAATCATTCCCATCCCCTTCAGACCTTGTGAGGTGGGATGACCCTGGCTGGATGCCATGTGCCCAGCAAAGCTGCTCCTCCACTCCCCTCCTCAGCTGGATGGGGGAGAGAAAATGTAATGGAAGGCTCGAGATCAGGACAGGGAAGGATCACTCTGGAATTACTATCATGAAAAGGTCTCAGCTTGGGGAAATGAATTTCATTTATTGCCAATCAAATTGGAGTAGGGTAATGAGAAATACACTCCAAATCTTAAAAACATCTTGCCCCCACCCTTCCTTTCTAGTCAGGCTTAGTTTCACTCCTAGCACTCTTAGTTTCACACTGCCCAGCAGTGCAGGGGATGAGAAAAGGGGTTGGGGTCAGTGTATCACACCTTTATTGCGATCTATTGTGTCTACCATTTCTTCCTCCTCATCCTTCCCCTGCTGCAAGCGGGGTCCTTCCCTTAGGAGTCCATCCTCCATGAAATATTCCAAAGGGAGTCCTTCCCACAGCCTGCAGTTCTTCACCAGCACAGGGTGATCCCTTTGGATCACGGCCTCCTTCAGGCATCCCCTTCCTCCACAGGCTGCAGGTGGATCCCTGCTCCTCCATGGCCTTCCATGGGCTGCAGGGAACACTCTGCCTCTCCATGGGCTGCAACAGCTCTGTTGAATCCAGGAGAAGCTTCTGGCAGCTTCACAGGAGCCACTCCTGTAGCCCCCCACTAACAAAACCCAGCCCTACCAGCCCAATATACCTTGAGTCATTACTTGGTATTAATTTTTCAGCCTAAAACAAGCTCTGGAGACCTGTTATTTTAGAGATTAAAGTTCTAGCGTAAACAAACTCATATGCATGTTGTTTTCGCACGGGAGATGTTTTTAGTATCGTATTTAATGTTTCAAACAAAGCCATTGCTTGTGGTGTTTTTCAGCCTGGATGCCTTTGAAAGGGTAGATATGGACCCTGTTTGATGTTGAGCTATTTGGGGCTTTTTATTTGCATTTTGTGGTTCTTATCTTGTAAACAAAGACTCCTTTCTGTGTCTGTAGATCAGGATGTCACCCACAAAGCTCTGTGGAAATGGGAGATGGCTCCAGAGGTGCTAGACACAAGTTCAGGGGCAAATGGAAATAAGGGATGTAGAACATTTTCACTTTGAGGTTTGGCTCATCCTAGCAGAGACTGGAGGTAACTTGTGTTTTTCCCATGCACCTTTGATTTTTTTTAATTTTTTTTTTTTTTTTAAAGCAATGCCAGACTGGCAGAGGGGGGAGGTGAATTTGCTGGAAAATTGCAAATGCCTCCCCAAAATTCAAGAGTTGCTCTGGGTGCATGGTCACAGTGCCAGGGGCCAGGGAAACAAATCCCACCTGCAGCTCTTTGTCAGAGGGCAGGGAGAAGAGGGAGAGAGCTGTGTGGAGATGTTCACTCGTTGGCTCAGGGGATGAGCATCCATCCCTTTGAGCTGCAGGTCAGGTTATTAGGGGAGGGCTCTCAGTTTCTTGCAGGCTCCCCACGATGTGAGCCATTGGAAAACTTGGGTCTGAGGGAGCTTAGGAGGCTTCCTGCTGGAGAGGAAAACCCAACAGGAGTAGTGGGAGGCTCTGAGGGTGCTGCGGCACCAGCCTTGTGCCACCACACAGGGTCGTGAGCAGCCCTGGGTGGCCTCTGGTCCTGAGCCCTTGAGAGTCACTGCCTCTCAAAGGCAAAACCCACTTCCAAAGCCATCCCAGCACGGTTCAGTGCTGTTTTGTGAGGCTGTCCCTTTGGCATCCAGAGCAGCATCTCAAATGGGAGGGTGCAGGAATGAATCAGGCAGTCGCTGCTGCTGCTGCTGCGTGTGAGCAAGTTGTTCTGATGTACTTATCTCTTGTTTCTGTAAAGGTTATAAAAGTAAATAATCTTGCTCTAACACAGTGTCCTTGCAGTCCCTGTGTAGCTCCGTGGATAACTCTTCCTAAGGCTGACTTGTGGTGATTAATACTCTACAGAGGGAAATTATTTTTTTTAAAAAGAAGGGAGCAGAGAAGTAAAGCTTGAAGACGCTTGTTCCCTTCATGTCCCCTGTGCTTGAGGCTGATTAGCTTTTGTTTCCTCCTCCAGCATGAGGGAACTGGTGGAACGTGTTCCCTCCTGCCCTGCAATGTTGATCCCTGGCACTGTGAGGATTAGCAAGTGGTCAAAAGCATCAGGAGGTGACCTTGCTCTGCCATAAGATCCCTCCCTCGTGGGCCTGGGCTGCCCAGGGAAAGCTGGCAGCACCCTGTGGACTGGGTAAGCAACATCAAGCTTCTTTCTGTATGCTGGGGAGTCTGGAGAGGGGATGTGAGCTGGGCAGGAGAGAGGCTGGAGTGTCTCTCCCCTCCCTTCCTGGCACTTGTGCTGTGCTGAGTTCATGCTGATGCCAGTCCTGTCTCTGTAATGGGTTTTTAGCACTCTTCAGAGACCTGTGCTGGGTGGGGCTGTAGCCAAGGACTGGGAGACCACTGGGAAGTAGGCTGGTACTGCCCAAGGTTTCCTTCAACAGTGTGGCAGGGGACCAAGTACACGTAACCCAGCAGCCAGGCTTGCACCTGCTTGAAACATTGAGATTAATGAAAACTGTCCCTTTTCCTTGAATATTCTCAGTATTGCGCCCCTCTCATCCATCCCATATGCTTGAATTATCTTGCCTGGGATTACAGTTCTGCATTCTCTCATTTTCCAGAAATGTTTTGTCTTTGTGGGGATGCTGCAAAATAAATCCCACCATGGGCAAGGGAGAGGCATCTAATCTTCCTGCTCCCTAGATTTAGCTGTGCCATTAGCCTGGACCCTGCACATAAAGCTAATTTTACAATTTGTAAACGTAGCTGAGTGGGTTTTATAGAGGAATGTCGGGAAGTGATGAAATACCTTCAATAGATTTATAAAGAAGTTTAATGCATAAAGCTCTCTTCCCCCCCCCTTCTGCCCCCCTCCTTCTGTCTTGGAGTTGCACACAACAGAAAACATGGCCATGGGAAGGGCTTTGTGGCCAGCACTCAAGCCTTTAATTTTGCTTTTACAAGACAGTTTTATAACATCAAGAAGAATGGAAAAGCTGCAAGGCATGCACACTCAAGACGCTGCGCTCCTGGAAAGTTCTGGATGGGCTCCAGGCAATGTTTGGTGGCTAAGAAGGATGAAGGTCTTGGAAAGAAGAGGAAACAATCAGCCAAGCCCTCATCCTGCAATATTCCTGTTTCTGTGAGCTGGGAATGCCATTGGAGCATGGGAAGGACAGAAAAATGCGTTCCTGCAACGTCACGTGTCTGAGGGTGAGTTCTGACTGCATCAATAGCAGCTTCTTCTGTTCCACCCCACTGAATTTTCCTGATGTAATGAAAATGAGCCATCCCATGATCTGCAAGACTCAAAAACCTGCTTTTTGCTGGTGCTTGGGCTCTGTGTGGAGTTCCTGTGTGGATTTCTCCTGGTAGGAATTCATCTGAATCAGTAAAATATTTCCCTTTCCTGCTTTCACTGGGGAGGAGATACTTGTGGTGCCTACTGAGTATCACTGTGAATCTCTTCTGGGTTGGTTTTTTTTTGGGATGGAGTGAAAATGGACTGTCAGGTTCAGAAGTGATTAGTGAAGGGAAGGAGAGATGGATGCTGTGACAGTGTATTCCCTTTTTTCCTCAGGAAACCAGGCCAGCAAGTGGGATGTGCCACAAAACCTCTGTAGCACGAGCGCCTGCCTCAAACAGCCCCAACCTCATGGGAGGGTTTTGTGTGGTCAGGAAAGGGGTTTTGGACCCGGAGATCTGGATTAACAAGATAACTGATGATCAGCTGATACTCAGCATTCACAGAGCAGCCTTATCATAACCAGCACCAGCCCCATGCTCCCCCTCTTTATCACCCAAGGGCTGAGCAAACCCAAGGCCAACATCCTCCCATAGGTCCGTCCTGAGAACTACCAGAAGATCTGGAGGAGAAGGCTCCTCCCAGGCCACTTTGCCCTGCTTTGGCTCAGCAGCTTTGCAGATTAATCTCTGCGTTAAGACCTTACACACATGAGAAGTGTTGGAGGGAGGAAGGATCTCCTGGATGTATTTTTCCACTCCATCTCTTTGGTTTTTATGTTCCTAGTTGTGTTTTCTTTTAACGATTCGCAGCTTGGACTCTTTCCTGATTTTTCTTCTCTTTTTTATTTGTTTCTTTTTTTCCCCTCTCTCTCTATTGAACACTGATGGAAAAGGAGAGTGCTTTCCTCCTGCCTACTTAAATCTTTGGCTGAGTCTCATGGAAAAACAGTCACACTTACTGCAGCTCCCAAAGCCTTCAAATCATCAGAGGAGAGGGGAGGAGGGAGCTGCAGAGGGAAGAAAATAATTTGTATAGGCGTAGAGTGAAGAATCACCTTCCTTTAAACTCGTGATCTGTCTCTGTTCCTACAGATTGCTGTCTCTGATCTTTTTTTACTCTGCCCAATATCTCCTTTCTATTATCTTTCCTCTGCCTTTTCTGTGATGTGTCTGTGCTGTGTCTCTTTTTGCTGGGATGTCTTGCTCCCAGGAGAGTTTGAATAAGAACGCTGGGACTTGAAGATCCAGGTTATTGACAAGAAATCATTGCTAAAACCTTTTAATGCCTCTTCTGTAATTGATACAGGGATGGGCAGGGGGGAGTTTCCTGTAGACACAGGGCTTTTCCCCCCCTCCAAATGTCTTTAAAAGCTCTGAGTGTGGTGTCCTACAGCCATTTCCTAATGGGTTAAAGCATCCTGGTGCCAGATGCTTTGGGGTCTGTAAATATTGCCCTGTTTGCAGATGGATACACTTGCAGGAAAGCAGATTGAGCCTGAAATACTGAGCAGCAGAAGACCCCAGAGTGCTTGCTCTCAGCTGAGCATCATCCTGTGTGTAATTTTGGGGGCCCCCTTTAAGCTACCAAGATGTTTGGTTGTCCTTGCACAGCTATTGTGGCACAGTTAAGCTGGGGAGAGAGAACAGGAGGTGCTGTGAGTGGGGCTGAAATCACCCAAACCTCTTATCCCAGCCACTGTGGGCAAAAATAGCCTGGCTGGGATGAGGGCACTTGTGTGGTGTCCATAAGAGGGGAGGGATGAGGGTCCAGTGGGGTGAGACTTGGCAAAACCCCCATTTCTTGTACCAAGTCTATCTTCTGACCATCTCCCTTGTTTTTTTCTTCTTTTTGCTGGCATGTGTTGCTAGGAGATAGAAAGCACAGTCCTTTTTGAAGCATCTTCAGCTGCCTTCTACCTTCCTGGAGAGCTTCAGCTTTGTTCAGTGTCCCTGCTCCTTTCCTTCTCTCGGACTCATCCGTTTCATCTTTCTCCCCTCGCCCCCACAAACCAGTCAGGAAGGATTTGCCACATCCGTGCTTGTTTCAAACACTGCTGTGAGCTCGCTCCCCAAATCCTCTTCTTTTAACTAGCGCAGGATTCTGCATCAAGCACCTGTCTGTGAACTTAACTCCTGTTCCAGATGTTCCTCCCCAAGGATGGAGGAGCCAGGACTCAGGGAAAGAATCCCCTCTGGCATGTGGGCAACTCCTTCTGCATGCAGATATACACAGGCAGCTCCCTCCGTCTCCTTGGTCAGGACTTTGCCCTTGGGATGTGCAACAGCTTCTCACCCCTCTGCAGGCATTTCTCTGCCCCGTGGGCTTTGCTTGGGCTTCAGCTTCCTATGAAAACTTGCTGGTTTAGGGGTTTCCCTTACACAGTTAAAAATAAAAAGGGAGGTGAAGGGTGTTGCAGAGGCCCAGGTCAGGGATGAGAAGTGGGTCGGGGCATTGGCCCCAGTTTTGGGCTCTAAATTACTCTGTGCGCCTTTAAGAAAAAGAAACCCAAATCAAACAAAATGCATGAAAAAAGAGAAACCTGCTCTTAGTCTTCCAGCTTATTCCCAGGACTGCAGACGTGGAGCAGGTGGGCACTGAGGGCAGCAAAATGTTTAGTGATCGCTGAGCGAGGAAGTGACATTTTCCAGCTTGCCTAAGGATGCAAGAAAAATGCATCTGTGTCTGCAGCAGCCCCATGAGCTGGTGCTGACCTATTTACGTGCCCAATTATGCACACAGGCAGATGCCCTCTTCCCACCTCGGAGCAAGGGGCTGAGCCAAGACAAAAAATTGCCAGCGTGGAGTTTTTCCTGAGAACCAACTCCCCCCAGATCCTGGGATGTCAGCAGAGGGCTCAGCAGCAGCTCAGGGTGTTGGAGTGATGTGTTTAGATGAGATCTTGTTTATTTTCCTTTGGAGTGAGGGATGCAGCTGGTTTGGAGGGAGCAATGAAATATCTAGCCAGTCTTTCCCTCTCTGCATCCATTAATGCCCACTGAGCCAGGGGCTCCCTCACTACGGTGCCTCTGGTACCCCTCCAGTGCTCTCTCTTCCTCCCTCCCACTCTGATTTTCCATTTCCCATATTTCATTTCTGTTTTGGCCGGTGGCAGTGACTGCTTCACACATTCATCACGCTGTGGGTGTCACAGTGTCGTGGTTGGTGCCTTTGTTCAAGCTCCAAAAACCTTAAACCACCAAGCCCCTGACCACTGTTAACCTGCCTTTAAAACTGAGATTGCAGGAGAATTTTCCATGGGAAGTGGTGAAGTTTTTAGTGATTTCTTACTCACCCCCTTTGCAGCCTCACTGTAAGATTTGATTTCAGCATTATGGGCATTGAGTTGGGAGTGCTAACCATATGGAAATGAAAACTAAGGATCGATCTCAAGAGCTGAACTGAGCTTTGTGAGTTAGAAAGAAACTTTTCTGGGAGCTTTTTCATTTGGGTCAGGCTGTGCAAACATTAACTCAGGATGGCTGGAAGTTTCATCATCAAGCAGTCCTTTTCCTCTATCACACCTGGGCAGCATCAGCTGTTTGAGCTTTAATTCCACCTGTGCTCCCTATGTGGAAAGAGGACAGCTCACTTGGAGGAGGGACAACAATAAGAAATAATTTGTTCTGGAAGGAAGGGCTTGTCCTACCTGGCTCCCCAGCTGTGGTGCAACACAACCCTTGTCAAAAATGTGACGCCTCCTCCTGCCTGCTTAATTGCTCACACTGAGCTGGAACAAGGCAAACCCTACACCCAGGGATGCTGCCACCCTTGCATCCCACTTTCCTGCTCTGGATAACAAGAGAAATCAATCATGCTGCCCTGGGGCTGGCCATCCATCTTCTTCTTCATCAATGGCCAGGGAAAGCCTGGCCAACCCTGTCCCCTGTGAGCTCCTTGCAGAAGGGCACAGGTTATAGGAATTGCCGTGCTGCAATTAAAAGTTAATATTTCGACAGTGCTGGGTGCTTTGCTGTTGCTCTCTTGGTATTAATGATCTTAAAAATCCTCCCTCAGCTGGGAGGCGTTGGCTCTAAATCTGCCTGTTTCTACCTGGGAGAGCCTTTTACAAGACCTTATTGAGTCCTCTGCAGTGGGCACTTCTCTCTTTGAGCAGAAACTGTTGGCACAGAAAATCCCCAACAGCCCAGAGGTGTAAAATCACAAATGAAGTGAGTTGTGTTGGAGGATTCCGGCCACTTGCTTAATTTTTATCACCCAATTTCTGCGAATCCCCTGTGGAGGTGCTTGAAAAGGACATATTTCCCCTTCTCTTTTCTCACTAGTTTTGTCATTCTGACAAATGGTTGATGTGTTGGGTGAGTTTCTAACGCTGCTGGAAATGGTTGTGGCTTTCGTGTTTTCCAGCCAGCACCGTGATTTCCACAAAGAAATGAGAGTGAGAGGCTGTAGGTAACTGTTCCTCTGGCTCTATTGCAGCCCACCACTACGAATAACACCTGCCTATTTTACATCTGAACAGCAGCTTTCCTTATTTATTGAAAAGCTGGGGATTCTTGGAGGATGTTTCCATTTTTCTCTGCTATTTCTGGTGGTTGCGCTACAGCAAATTGGTCTCCAGCTGCAACTTTGCTCCTCAGTTTTGGCTGCAGGAAGCCTGTCTTGCTTGCTGGGTGATCAAAAATCATCCCAGGAAACGGTGTCCAGGCCTGCAAGGAGCACTCTGGGGATACAGTGTGGAAACTTGCTCCGCAGGGATGTGGTGGCACGCGGGGGCAATCCCGTGTTCCTCTGCTCTGCCACGTGGAGCCCTGGCACCTCTCCTGGGTTAATGGCCATGGAAAGAGTGCTGTAGTCCTTCACCTCTGCTTTTGGTGGTACCAGGGACAGCTTTTGCTGGTTGATGTCCAGAGGAGGCTGAGAAGCATGAGAAGTTTGGGATTCTGTGTGGAGTTGTTGAGCCAGAGAGCTGGTCTGGGTCACCGGTGCGAAGGTGCTTACATGAGGCAGGAAACACAGCCTTTACCAGCTGCAAAGACACCACTCCAAGTTTCTGACAGGATTCTGAGCCCCTGTGCCTCTGCTTCTCTGAAGATGTCACATCCAGACACAAAGCCCCTCATGGAAAGAGGATGGTGATGCCCTCACAGCTGGGTTTGTGCTGTACTCTGGGTGAACCACAGAAGGTTGGAAAGGACCTCCAAGATCATCAAGTCCTCAGGCTGTATTTATTAATCTTTCCACTCGTATTGAAGGAAATGCCATCTTCTAGCTAGAAAATGAGAAATATCAGGAGCATGAAAGATCCGATATTATTGGCACTGTTTGACATACATCTAAACAAAAAAGAGTTGTAGAATATCCTTGGAAGGGACCCTCAAGGATCAGCAAAGTCCAGCTTCTAACCCCACACAGGATCACCCCATCTTGCCACTTTTTTGTGGTTTTTAGTTGTTAGGAAGTCCATGAGCACTTCCCCCAGTGAAACAGCAATATTTACATCCCGTGGAGTTCTCTTTTCCTGAGAAAAGCAGGAGTGAAAACTCCTATTGTCATCCCCTGCCCTGGCCACTGCTTTCTCCTTTTGCAATATGAGCTGCTGTCGAGCACCAAATAGGATAATATTTAATCCGAGGGACATCGTATGCTTTCCCAAAGTGCTGTAGCATAATTGGAAAAAGAAGAACGAGTC